CTCTTCAAAGCACAGTAAAATTAAATATTGAGTCCCAAATTGTAGTCAGCATGTCTAGGAATTTGAAGCACATGTTCTCTTCTATTATTGAAGAAGACAGCTGCCTAGTCAATGTAAATTTTATTGTAAGATTGTTTAACAGAATTCACAATTATGGGAGGACAAACATACTTGAGGCACTAATGGAAGGTCTGAATTTGATATGTGGATACAAAGAGTCCTGTCAGACTTAGCATCAGCTATTGTTTCACAGAGAAAGGTGGGCAATAAAAGATAGTGACTATTAATGAAAGGGAACACCCACTGATCTGTTGCTATCTCTGCTAACCACGATAATAAAAAATAAGAGTGGAATAAGCACCTAAATTTTTAGTATAGTAAGGAAATAGTCAATGCATATTTTATCCTAATGTGCTCAACCTTTCTGAACTAACCTTTCTGATATCTGGGATCCTTTAACCCTTGAAGCTCTCCTAATTGTAACATTAAAATAATCCTAGTCTTCTTCATATCACTGAGCAATTCTTTGTTTCCTTCAATGGCTATTCAATAATTCCATTAAGTCTCTGCACAGATTCTCTTAGGACCATTCATTATAACCAATATACAACTTTCAGCCATTATTAAGGCTTCTAATATTATCTCTCTATATGCAATTTCTAAAAATTTACGTTAAGCCCAAACATGTTTATTAAATGCCGTTTGTTTGTTCCTAAATGATTAATGAACATTTTCACTTGAAAATTTGGATGTCATCAGAAAATCAACATGTCTGGAGCTAATTGATTTTTCCTCAGAATTGAATCCTTTACCCAAGCTTTTATCTTTGTTTGTTTAATCATCACGTAATCACACTAGAATTCGTGCTAAATAATGCAGTAAAAGAAATCCTTTAAAAAGGTTACTTATCAAATCCTCAATTATTCTCTTACTCAAAAACTTTCTCAATAATTCCCTCTTTCCTATGGGAAAAAGAAATCACATTGGTTCTTCTAAGTTTCTTTAAAAAGTGAGAAATTCTGTGTTTTACTAATCTCTTTATCTGCCATACTTTCTACTCTTGTGTGTTACATATTGTAAACCACAGTAATTGCTTCTTGCATTAATAAACTCCTTAGACTTCTACTCTCCAAGGTTCCTTAGTCTGGTCCATTCTTAACTCTCTTTACCTAGAGGGACTCTTCCCAATTTGTTTCATGTTACCATTTTACTCACCATCCCAACAACAAGCTTAGCTTTTCCTTTCCTTCCTATCTGTGGGCCACAGTCATCTTCTTTTTGCTGTCTAAGTTCTCATCATACTTTAAAGAGCAGTCCAGTTTCAAATCCTCTCTCACAACTACTTCTATAACTCTTGGAGCCCACATTAATCTCTGATAAGGTTTGGCTCTGTGTCCCTACCCAAATATCAGCCTGAATTGTACTCCCATAATTCCAAGGATGTGGTGAGATAATTGAATCATAGGGGTGGTTTCTCCCATACTGTTCTGGCGGTAGTGAATAAGTCTCAGGAGATCTGATGGTTTTATCTGGAGTTTCCACTTTTATATCTCATTTATTCTCTCTTGGCCTGCTGCCATCTCTGTAAGATGTGATTTTCCCCCTCTTTGCCTTCTGCCATGATTGCGAGGCTTCCCCAGCCATGAGAAACTGTAAGTCCAATCAAACCTTTTTCTTTTGTGAATTGCCAGTCTTAACTCTTCTAATTATGTGTTCTCTGAGATTTTCGCTATATGATTATTATGTTTCTAATTATAGATTACCCCTGACTTATGATGGTTCAGCTTAAGATTTTTTGACTTTGTGAAAGTGATACATATCAGTGGAAACCATACTTTGAGTACCCATACAACCACCCTGCTTTTCATTTTTAGTACAGTATTCAATAAATTGGATAAGATACTCAGCATTTTATAAAATAGGTACTGTGTTAGATGATTTTGCCCAGTTGTAGACTAGTGTGAAGTTCTGAGCATATTGAAGGTTAGCTAGGCTAAGCTATGATGTTCAGTATGGTAGATGTGTTAAATGCACTTTCCATTATGATATTTGCCACTCATGATAAATTTATTCAGATATAACCCCATCATAAGATGAGGAACACCTGTAATCCTAATTATCAAACTTACTCTCATCCTTCCTACTCCATACTTATAACTATATTGCTGTTTTACTTTTGAATTGCCTATATATTTTTTCTGCATATTTATTTTGTGGCCCAGTTATATTACAAAATATTTAGGGAAAAATCTATGTCTTATTTTGTTGTATCATTCTTATACTCTAACCGTTTATAGACAAATTTATAGTCAAAAATCATTAAACAAATTAATAAATATGGGTATAGATATATTGACAGTATTTATTACAATTATAGTTGACCCTTCAACAACAGAGGTTTGAACTGTGCGAGGCCACATATACATGGATTTTTCCCTGAGATAGCAAGACCAATCTCTTCTCTTTGTCCTCTTCCTTAGCCTATTTAATATGAAGGAAATGGGTATGAAGACCTTTATGATCATCCACGTCCACTTAACAAACAGTAAGCATATTTTCTATTCCTTGTGATTTTCTTTATAACATTTTCTTTTCACTAGCTTACTTTAATAATATAGTATATAATGCATGTAAAATTAAAAATATGTGTTAATGTACTGTTTATATTATCAATAAGACTTTTAATCAGCAGTAGATTATAAATAGGTAAGTTTTAGGGTAGTCAAAATGTCTATATAGATTCTCAACTGTACAGAAGATCAGTGTTCCTAACCCCCACATTGGTCAAGGTCAATGGTAATAGTTTTAAAAGAAATAATAAAAAAATATTCATTTTGAATATGATTATTTTAGATAGTTTTAGATACACTTTTCTTTATTATTTGTTCAGTAATTTAATTAGTCCCCTATATAAGGAAAAAATAAAGGCTAATGTATCTATACTTGATTTTCACAGTGTTAGATATTGACTGTAAAAGTCATCAAGTATCAGCTAATGAGGGAAGTCAGAAAACTCATAAAGAATTGAAAGACAAGAGTAGAGATTTCTTTGGCATACTTTGATGAGGTTTGCCCTAAGTCTGGTAGAATCAATCTAATGCTTCCTTCCATATTATAATTTAGAAAGAAAGAAAATAGAGCTATTTGATTCGGAGGTGAAGAAACTAAGCTCTTAACCACTATGCTTTAGAAGACACTGCAATTCTATCATTCACAAAAGTAATAAACACAACATTAGGAAAAAAAGGGATTTTGTTTTGAAAACATATTCTGTCATTTCCCTGGCATTAAGAGGTTGATCTTGTTTTGCTAGAACTTAGTATCTGCTGCATAAATTATTTCACCCAAATTTCTTAATATTTACCACTCATTTATTTTATCACTGGCCCCAGTTTATTTCTTTTGTTTTTGGAAAACATTTGTATTTAAGTGAATCTAATAAAATTTCCCCTTTCCTCATAGATAACACAAACTCACTTACATTTACAATGAATCTCACCAAAAAGATTTATTTTCTATGAAATAAAGTGATATGAAAACGGGTGGAAATGTCAAGATGAAGGAAACTCTTTTGCTCTCAATGAGATATTTTGTTCTATATGCAGCTGTTTGTTCACAGTTTGTGTGTGTATACATGTGTGTATTAATGAAGAAGGTATAATTGAATTTGCAACATGACTAAAAGGTCTTCCTTTAATTAAATAGTTAAACAGATAACTATTTAATAATGAGAATGTGAGACTTCTCATTTTCTACATTGTTGAGCTATGTTGTGTTTCCACAATTGAGAAAGTATGACAGTCATGGGATTTTGAGTAAAATGATCAGGATTCCAAACATGGCTCTTTTTCTCAATGGCTTTGTAATTTGTCAAGACAATTACTATATAAGAGCTTTAGTTTTATATCTATCAAATGGCAGTAGCAATAAAAACTATTCCTTGAGGATTTGTGAAGTTAACCAAATTATGAAAATGGAAGTCCTTCCCATAATAGGATATATAAAATTAATACTTTAAATTCAAGTCAAGATCCAGAGTCCTTCCTGTGACCTTTAAAACACTGTGTGATGTGGCTTGGAACCATTCACCAGACCTTGTCTTCATCATTCACTTCAGTTCACTCCAATCTAACAACTCTAGCTCAATCATGTTCCTCATACACACCCAGCCTTTTTAGGCTTCAGGGTCTTTGCAAGTGCCATTCCTTAAGCTTGAAATTCTTTTCTCTTCTTTTACATGGCTGACATTCTCATTACATTTAAATCTCTGTTCCTTTCAGAGGCCTTTCTGTATAGCTTATTTAAAATGGTGCCCACTTCTCTCTTGTTTTCATTTTATCTCACTTTATTAATTTTATGGTACTCACTATTAATTAACATTATATAATATTTTCTTATCTTTCTTGTCTATTTTATTCTTTACAGCTAAACCCTACACAATGAAAAGTTTGCTTGACTTTCTTGCTAATGTAACCCCAGCACCTAGAACAGTATCTGGTGCATAATAGGTGATGAATAAATATTCATTCAAGTAATGCATAAGTAGATAAATGAATGAATAATTTTTCATTTTGACCTTACTCTGCATTAGGCAAACTACAAAGTGCTTTATGTGAATTATCTAATTTAATCATTATAATAGGCTTACTTATATTCCTATTTTATAAGTGAAGAAAAGAGGGATGTCATGAGATTCACTAAATTCCCCATGGTTAAAAATCTCAAGTTGTGGAAACTGAGCTGCTATAAACCCTCTGTATATCTAGCTACCTTTATGTTAATTGACGATTGCATACACTATTACAAAATGGACTGAATTGACTACCCAAAGCTCATTTATGTAGCTAAATTTTACACCAATAGGAATGAATGTGTTCAATAGCTAAAAAATAAATCAACTTGTAGAGTCTCAAAGACAGACAGTATTTGAAAACAGTTAAAAACAATAATACAAAAAATAAATAAACTTTGTTTTCACAGGTGCCAAAGGTACAACTTACCTCTAGGTGGCCAGCTACTGTAGCAATATGGAGGGCAGTGAGGCCACCATATCCAACCTGCTGTATATCAGCTCCACTGTGAAGCAGAGAAGTGATCAATTCTGCATTATCCTGAAAGAGAACACATCTTAGGGTTACTTTTCTACTAATAGCAGGTTTAAAAGCTGTGCAACAGGATGTATTGATTTTCTGCCTATCAGTCAGTTCGAGTACTCAAAGGAAACTTAAGTGTGATTTCTAGCATACGAGCACATTAGATGCCAGAGAATAGTTCTCAGGTGGTGGAAATGTAGGACCAAATGACAGAGATGTTCAGTTCCAATCAATACACTACTGATTGAACAAGAAAGACAGAAAGGACATTATATACAGTTAGGCTCTTGTAAACTCAAACTCAATTTTACATGTAGGTTATTCTAAGGCATATGCTTTTCTAGCAACTAAAATTAACTCCCAATGAGGTCAGGAATTTACAGAAATAGTTTAAAGGTTTAATATTTTCTTCTCCTTCTTCTTCTTCCCCTTCCCCTTCCCCTTCCCCTTCCCCTTCCCCTTCCCCTTCCCCTTCCCCTGCCCCTGCCCCTGCCCCTGCCCCTGCCCCTGCCCCTTCCCCTTCCCCTTCCCCTTCCCCTTCCCCTTCTCCTTCTTCTTCTTCTTTTTCTCTTTTTTTTTGACACGGAGTTTTGCTCTTGTTATCCAGGCTGGAGTGCAATGGCGAGATCTCAGCTCACCACAACCTCCTCCCCCTGGGTTCAGGCAATTATCCTGCCTCAGCCTCCCGAGTAGCTGGGACTACAGCACGTGCCACCATGCCCAGCTAATTTTTTGTATTTTTAGTAGAGACAGGGTTTCACCATGTTGACCAGGATGGTCTCCATCTCTTGACCTCGTGATCCACCCGCCTCTGCCTCCCAAAGTGCTGGGATTACAGGCATGAGCCATTGCGCCCGGCCTAATTTTTTCTTCTTTTAGAGATGAGGATGAAATATACCATTTAAGAAAAGAGTATGAACCAAGTACTGAACAAAGTGCATGCAGCCCAGTAGACAGTTTCATGTTAATTCAGTAATTTCTTATCTACTGTATAATATCATTAAATCTACACATAATTAATTCATAGTGTCTTTCTTGACTCGTTTTACCAGTGAATATGTTAGAACTATTATTTAAGCCTCCAAATTTGAAAAATTTATGCAACAATTAAAGTAATTCCTACTTTTTACAGTATTATTTTTATTTCTGCCTTTGGAAAGATAAATAATATTTATAACATTAATAATAACATTAACTGAATTTTTATTTTATAGTTCAATTTTGTAATTTTGTTTGGTATTTAATCTTTGTAATACAAACATTTCCATGTTTAAGCCTTTCCCTCAAAGTAAGAAAACCTCAACTTCTGTAATATTTGGTCTATCAACAGCTCAAGTAACAATAAAAAAGTCAAGTCTTCATAACATAAGCCAGTGCATTTATGACTTACATACATATACTATCAAATACTCTTTGTTAAGAAAATTTTACCATTAGAAAGCAAAGTTTGATTTCTTAATGCTGTCACACGTACATAAAAGCCTACAAGAAGTTCTAAAATATGAAAAAACTTTGATGAAGAGCTAAAAATAATAAAACTAATTTTATAGTTTCAAATCTTCCCCTTTTTCAAAGTGCTCTTCCAAGAAAGTAAAATAAAGACTTCATCTTCAACCTTCATTCTTCCATTGGCTCTGTATGCTTGAACTACAAACTTGTATTTTCTCCATTTTTCCACTGAAGCTAAGCTAGTTTTATCTCCATTCTTGCCTTCATTATCCAACGTTCTGAAAAAAGACATTGATTTTGGTAATAGTTCTGATCTAATATTTTTAGCAATCTTTAGGTAGGCATACCCAAGTTTCACATAAATCTCAAATGAGTTCATCATACTTAATCTATGTTGAATCTTGCTTTTCTCACTAACCAGATTTATTTTTCACTTCTCTTTGCATTGTATTATCAAGAGAAGTCACCATAACTGTTTCTTCCACTTAGGGCATTAAGGACCTCACCAGTCTCCTGAAATCAATCTTCAATTTGTAAAGGTAAACTATTTATCAAATCCAACGTCTTCGTAGTCATTCTCTCTATAATTAAATCATCTCTTTCTTCTGGAAATTCTTATCTCCTTTGCTTTCCTAAAACTACACATTCTTCGATTCCTTTGTGTTGCCTGTTTTTTGTTTCTGTCTGTCTCCTAACACTGTGATTTGGAAATTTAAACCTAAGCTGCTTTCCCATTTTAAAGGTCACCTTGGTAATTCTTATACAATCTGACAAATACATCTTTAGTCCTGACTTCACTGCTAAGTCTGAGTCCCATATATTTTGCCTACCAATAGCATCTCAAATGCAAAATTCAGAATTGCTCTTGTAACTATCATTTATTATTTTCCCCAGGCTGACTTGTAATCGTCTAGCATTCCTTATTTATATTAATGCCACTTTTATACTGGAAGGGACCTGAAGTCCCTTCAGCTCAATTAGTTTCAGAATTCTACACGTTTTAACTCACGTATACTCACATTTCTTCTTATTTTTAACATAATCCCATGTATTACACAGCTTGCTAACTAGTGTCCTTGACTAATACTTTTTCTCATTGCAGTCCATCCTCCATACTATTAGATACATTTTCCTACACCCAATTTTGATCATGCATTTCCCTTTTAATACACCCTTTATATGCTAAAGAAATATTTGTTGACCATATCTGATGTAGCAAACTCTTTTCTGAGCAGCGGTGACACTGCAGTGAGAAAAGGCAGTGAAATCCCTGCCCTCACAGAGCTTATATTTTACTATGTTTATGTGAATGGAGAGACAAAAAGTAAACAAGTAAGAAATTGTTGTACAGTAGCTTAAAGTACCAACTGCTATGAGATGAAAACAGACAAATGATTAGATGGCTATTTTAAACTGGGTAATTAGGGAAAGATTCACTGCAGAGGTGAACTTTGAAATAAACGGTAAATGCCAGAAAGTCACAATTTCAAGGATAAGCATTAAAATATGAAAACTAGCTAGTGCAGAAGTCATAAGACAGATATAAGTTTGGTGTCTTTGAAGAACAACAACAAGGCTAACATTGAGTAAATGGTTAAACAAATGAAAAGAAGTTTTCAAGATGAAGTCAAGGATGTATACTCTAGCAGGGCTTTATAGGCCATGGTATGGGATATTTGGATTTTTCCCAAGTGCAATAGGTAGTAGTGAAATAAAATAGTAGAGAGATGAGGGACAACAAGGAAGAAGCAGAGTTTTAAGCAGAAGTAAAATGTTTTGTTTTCACATGTTAAATTTGAGCTGCATATAAAGCAGGGTTAAGATGCAGGTCATGGAATCAGCCTCCCTAATTAGAATTTCAGCTCTGACAATGTCTATGTGAACTGGAGTAGTTCTATCACCTCTTTTTGCTGATTTCTTTAATTATATAAAAAAGAAAAGAGTAATTGTTTTCACCTTAAAATTGTTCTGATAATACCTATAAAGCAATTAAAAGGTACCTGGCACCTACAATACCCAATAAAATTCATTATTATTGGACTCAGGAGTCTGGGGCTCAGTATAACCTCAGTGAATGGTACCTTCCAAATAAAATACTGATTTGATTTCATCACTTAATTTCTCTTTCTCCTTTCCCTTTACCTCCTCTTCAGAACTCCACTCCCGCTGCTTCAGGAGTTAGGATTGAAACAAAGGACTAAAACATGAAAAAAGGCTGTACTAGTACTGGAAGTGAGAAAATGTCAGCTAGTTTGGCTGTCAGTAGGCTGCCAGAAACTGAGAATTCCTCCTCCAGAGAAAACAGTTCACAGGAGTTAACTCTCACTTCACCAATAACCTTGGTGAGGGGCTAAAGACACGAGTAGTCTTGACATAAATGGGGAAAACATTGACTTAAAACATTTTCCCTGAAGACTGTCAGAAATTTAAATGCAGAGAAGTAGGGAAGGCCTTTCTAAGCATAAAATTATATTTTAAAATAAAGAGAAAATATGATAGATTTGAGCAAATTAAAGTGTTAAAAACACAATATTATCAGGCAAGTGACAAATTGGAGAAATATTCACAACATATAACACTGAAAAATGGTTTACATATTTAATACATAAATATCTAGTATAAATCAGTAGAAAGATGGATACTGTTTTATTCACCAATATTTATTAATGAATGTTTACTTTATGACAAACACCGTACTAGGCTAAATTAAAATAAATTCTATGTAAATCACAGAGCATGTGAAACATTTATCTATTAGGCAGATTTTAGTAAACACACATTTATCCTTTTCTCAAGTAAAAAAGTACATTAGGATTCCTTCAGAAAGGGCAAATGGTAAGGTCAAAAGTTAAGAGTAATAATTTATCCTTTCATACTTTGGTTGGATTTCCCAAGATTTGACCTCTAATTGATCTAAATACTTATTAACTGAATACTACCAAAATAGAACTGTTATCTTATGCAGCTGTGCTAAAGAGAAAAACATAAAGCAGTAATTGCTGCATATAAATTGCTTACTATAAGCCAAGTTCCATGCAAAATGTTTAATCTATATCCTCTCTTTTAAGCTTCACAATTTACCTATGAGTGAAATAATTATTAACCCTATGTTGTAGCTGATATCACTCAGGCTTAAAGAATTTAAAGTACTAACTGAACTTTACTTTGTAAGTTTTGGAGATAGATGCAAACCCAGGTCTGTTGAACTCCAAAGTCAATATTTCACTTCTGACTTTCCATATCTCAAGGAAAATCTAATCCAATCTCCAGGAAAGACTGAGAGGACATACTTCTGTTGTATTAAACTGATACGCTTCTTACTCTACAGGAATATTTTGTCCTAATGAAATAATTTTAAGAGTCAGCAATATGATACACATCTCCCAGAAAAAAATTCTCCTGTAAAATGCAAACATTTGGTAAATTTTGAATATTCTAACTTTGATGTCATTTATTGCTTGCACTTTACTATATGTAACAAATATCTAATGACAATACTTTTAAAACAAAGTCTCTTAAGACTTGCTTAGGGAAGAGTCTTGTGGGAACTGGCAGGTTTCCCTTATGTA